TTTTTTTAGTACGAAATCTTATCTTTCTAACGCCATCTAGCGTAAACCGATCGCACTTATACAACGCGAGATACACATTACTAAAGCCATCTATTGGAAAAATAATGGATTTCTTTTTACTACACCTTATACTTAAAAGGAATGAACTGGGAAATTTTACTCCACTCGCCATATTCCCCAGACATCGTTTCCTCCGATTACTATTTGTTCCGGTCGATGCAGTCAACGCTTACCTTGTAGCACAGCACTTCACCTCGTACGAAGAAGTCAAAAAATGTCTAGATGACTGAATTGCCTCCAAAGAACCCGCATTCTTCTTGCATGGAATCCGATTGTTGGGAAGATGGGCCAAGGTTGTCTGTTCCGGTGAGCAATACTTTGAATAAATTAGTTCGTCGATTTACTACCAAAGCACTGTTCTCTTTTACTCAAAAATGGGCAAATTTCATATGCAACCACCTAATATTATTACTTATATAATTCTCAAAACTTTTTTTTGAGACATCAAATGGATTTTACCCCTTAACATTTTACGCATTAGACGTACTGCTGGATTTTCATTTCTTTCATTTTCTTCTTCAAGAATAATCCACCATGAAGCAGCCATTGTAATAGACTAATTTTCACGTGGAAGATTATTTCACGTAAATCTTTATATTTTTGTGAAAATTTTCACTTTTCATGAGTTTACACTAGAGGAAAAAAATTCATGATGAAATCCCAGATTTAATTTTTATATGAGACTATATTAAAAAAAAGAAATAACAATATTTGTCTAATGCATGAACATTTTTAACTAGATATCTAGATTAAGTTGACTTCATTTGTACGCGTTTGTATTTATAAACATTGGCAATAAGATATTGCCATAAAATTTTTGTATTAATTTTATTAGTTTATTTCAATCATAATGCAGTGATAGGATATTAGGAGAATTATTCGCGCACGCGCATAAGCAAACACTATGGTAGTGTTAGTACCGTATTTATTTTAAGGTAAAGTTCCTCGACTGAAAGATAATATGAAGGAATTGTATGGAAAATACAGTTTCTGTTAAAGGAAAAGAATGTTGTTTATGAACAATAAATTTATTATTTTATTTTGTAACGTCTGCAGCCGATTAATCGTATGAATACCAACATTTGTTGCAAGAGTAAGGAAAACTGCAGAAAACCTTACTAATATTCTAACAATAAAATTGTACGTAATAAATAATATGTTTAATAGATGTCATTTAAATATAATACATATTAATGTATTTACAATTTACATAATAAATAATACATATTAAATTTAATACATAAGAAATAATTGTATATAAAAATACAATACATTAATATATAATTAATTATAATTAATAATAATTTATATAATTAATAACATTTATATAATTAATAATAATACACCCAGCAAATCAGCACTGTATTTATATACCAGTAATATAACATAGATATGTAATGTCAGCACAACCATGTGGTTTGTTATGTAATTGTTACATGTTACATAACATATACATAACATGTAACAGTTACAACTGAAATACTATATAACTGAGCTGACATTTAAATATCAATGTTATGTTACTTATATTTATGGTTTGCTGGGCATGTTATATACAGGGTAAGCCACGCAATTGGGACGGATTATATCTGAAGTTTGCTTAGTAGTTTGCGTAGTAATACAAAAGAGTTGTAGAGGAAAAAGTTGAATGGTATAAAAAGGTCTACTTTCTTACGAATTTACTTTTTTCATAAATGCAACGATGCACCTAAAAAATGCAAATGCACTTTTACTTTAAATGGAATAACATATTTTTTTTATATGAATCGATTCCTCGGGACAGCCTACGTAAAAAAGTATTGGGAAACAATGTAAATGAAATGAACAATTCGTGAAATATTTGACATTTTTAGTCGTTTCTGACATTTATTAAAGAAGATGTTCGAACATTCCGCCTATTTTCATCTAATTACTAACCAAACGTGAGATATAACCCGTCCCAATTGCGTGGCTCACTTTGTATAGCTCTTCTTTTCGTCAATGCCACTTGATGTCGAAGGTTATTGATGATTTATTTTCATTTCACTTTTTTATCATATTAAATAAATTTCCCAAATAGCACAGAGATGAACAGAAGTTCTTAGATAATTCATTTTAAAGAACACATACAGAATTAGAAAAATTAATGTTTGAAAAATTCGTAAAGAAGTAACCACAATAAGTTCGTCTTGAAGTATTCCTCAGAAATACATTGTAGCGAATACTACACGACTTAATTCCTAGAACACTCTGAAAATTCGTGAGGAATTATAAGTGTTTTGTTTGTTACAATTATTTCTTGTGGCTACGTGCAGCAAATATACGTATTACTTTCAGTGCTTTGTGTATGTTGTTATAATTGGATCTTTCTTTACAAATAAATGATGTGATAAAAAGAAAAGCGATAATATTTAATTGAATTGTAAGAATATTAAATTATATATTAAATATAATTAAATTATATTTATATTTTACAAAATGCTACTCTATAACCTAAAGATGAGAAGAATTTTGTTCCATTTTAATACAATTCTTTCTTTATTCTATAAGATTCTTGTGCAATTTTGAATTCCTTACTTCTTTTGTGTGAAAAGCTGAATGTATTTTAATTATTTTAGTTGAAAAAATTGTTACTTATCAACAAATATTAGCAGTACATCAATATTATAATTTTCCAGTCAACAATGTAAGTGTTGCATATAACATATGTTGTAATAGCTATATTGTTGAGCGAGAATTATAATATTGATGTAATGTTACTTTTGAAGTTGGTATTTATTGAATATCCTTCCAGTAAACACGATCAGTAACATAACATCAGTGTTATAATTTCCTATTTAAGAATGTAACTAGGTAAAGTTGCCCCAGCGCCAAACAGTTCCCAGTACCGGGCAATATGATGTTTACACATTTCTAGATAGCAGCAGCTGACGATTATAGATCGTTAGAGGAACATAAAAGAGTGTGGTACATCGCGCCACTTATGAAATATTTTTGCCATCGTTGAATAATTTGTGATAAAGTGGAGGTTGTTTATAATTTACGTTACATAGATAATTTTTATACTACCAGTTGACTCTCTTCAGGTCAGTTAAACAAATTTGTTATATATCTTAGTCAGAATTCTAACAAAATAATGTCCTTATATAAACTAAAATTTTTTTTTAGGTTTTAATAAATAATAATTTTTTCTAACCTCTTGCGTAGCCCCAGTATCGAATACTACCTAATGTTCCCAATATCGGACAGAAAAACAATTCTTGTAATAAACATAATAAAACTATTATTTATCATCAGGGATTTTTGGCGAGATGGTAATATCTAAGAAAAGGAAATATTCTGGCGAGGAAATTAAATACGAGAAAAGCAGCTGATCACTTTTCTGTTCCCAAAAGCTCTTTGACAGACCGTGTTTATGCTCTTAAAAAGTGGAAATCAGTTCAAATGACACTTTCAATGGGTAGATTTAAAAAAAATTTTCAACGATGAGTTGGAAAATGAACTCGTGAAACATATTCAATATTTGGACAATTGTTTCTTACCCGTGAATAAAACCAAACTGTTAACTCTAGTTTATGATCTTGCTAAACATTTAAAATTACCACACCAATTCAATAAAACAAGAAGAATTGCGCACGGAAAAAAAGGTTTGGTTAAATTAATCAAATATCTGGTCGAATATGAACGATCCAGAAATTCCGATTGAAGTAACCCGAATTCTTTAATTCAATCAAAAATTTTGTTAACTTAAACAGAATTATTTCAATCGGAATTTCTGGATCGTTCATATTCGCCATTTAAACTGGCCATTTAACCGTTGTACGATTCTATACCTGCACTCGTTATTTCTCTATTATTGTTGCTTTTTTATAAAAAATATATAATACTATTTTAAAAAGTAAAAATTTTTATTGTGTATATGTGTACAATTATTGCACAATGTAATTATCTTGACTCCTCTCGGAGTTTTACATGGTGTGCATGTGAAACTACCCCATTTAATAACGTACATATGGTCCTTGATAGAATTAAATATCGTATCTACGAAATAGAATCTGCGCGCAACCTGCCGCCAGTCTGTCGTCAAAGTCTGTCGGCATACTCTGCACGCAGTCTGTTACCAATCTATCATCAGAATAAATGCTGTGTGCAATTTTTTACCATTCTGTTTACAGACACTGTTAACAGACTCTGCGCAAAATCTGCTCGCGCAGGTTTGGTTATCTAGAAACAACTTAAAAGTTTTGTCCATGAAGAGAAAAAACAAGTTAGGACACTCACATCGGGTAAACGCAGAAGAAACATTACAGTAATACTTTGCATAAATGCTGCAAGAGACTAAATGCTTTATTTATGGAGAGCCTTTGAGAGTGCAGTGTTACACCTGTGGTGGTTGGGCTCACGTTGCGTGTGCTGACAGCGACAATATAGCGTACTTAGTGTGTGAACATTGTAGCAATGTCTGAAATCATCTCCCACTATTTAATTTTTGCGTATATATTAACTTTGGTTATATTTCTGTCTTTTAAGTAATGTATCCGATATTGGGAACAATTTTTTAAACGACATAATTTCTATCATTTTAGAAAACTTAAAATTACGCTATTAAAAACAAATTATTTCAATGTTACTTTTGTACAATTTTATTACTCATGTTGTTCTCTATCTTCAAGATTTCTATTTCTTTTAATTCATTAACAAGTTTTGTACAAAAATGACAAAACGCTTAGGTGTACGGTACTGGGACAACTTCCTCTAACGCGTGTTATGTGTGTGTGTGTGTATATGTTGCATTCATATTATTGGAAATTATAACATTAATATTATGTTACTTAATTATGTGATGTTAATTAGTGTTTACTGGGTTTTCACTTCTCTTTCTATGTATAAACCAACGACATGTATACCTAGACCAAGCATTCATATCACTTTTACAATAGCAGCGAGCGAAGCCGGGAATTCGCAATTTGTGACTGAGAGAGAAAGTTGATTTGCGTCTACTACTTTCTCACTCTTGGCTTCTATGACAAGAGCAATACTTATCTAACCTCTTAGCTGTAAATTTTGAAAGAAAAGGTACGAATAATAAATATTAAATAATTAAGATAATAATGGTTATATTTTCTTTATATTTTACTTTTTTTGTTTGACATATTTGTCTACAAACATTCACTTAATTTGACTACTATAGTATATACATGGCGACTCTGTCCATATTGCTTGCACTTTTCGCACTTAGAACAAAATGGATGCATATTATTTGGACGCTGAAAGAAGTGAGAACGAAGAACCCAAGTGTAAAGAGTGCAAGATTGACAGTCGCTCTAAACAAGAGTGAGAAAACAGTAGATGCAAAACATCTTTTTTCTCTCTGTCACAAACTGTCAACTTTCGGCTTCACTTATTGGAGAGAATGTTTAGTCTATGTATATATGTCATTGATATAAACATTATTCTTCTTGAATTCATAAAGTATGCGTCTATGTTCATATAGTATAACTCTACATAAATACTTTAAGAAGTTCTGAGGAACTCCAATCATAGTGCATGTAACTTCCTAAATCATTCTTAAAGTATTCTACGAATTCCTTGAGAAGTACAATTCAAGAAAGGAAAAAACATTTAGGAACATTTAAAGAATTCATTGTCCTATCTGAGTTAACCCTTCGAGTGCATATTAGGTCATTTTGACCCGATTTTTTCGAGCGAAATTGAAGCATGTAGTAGTTTTTGAGCATAATATATTATAGTTTAGAGAAGACTTATTCATACTCTTGAAATACTGCTTCGATTTGAGTTTTAGTATAGTAGCCATCGTGATCAGATAAAAAAATGCCTAAAAAGGATCCCGCACACATCATATGGAAATATACTCCCGGTTAAATTGACTGAAATTGCAGTATGTTGTTACCCTTGACGTCCTAAACAAAAATGTTAATGGACACAATTCTCTAAATGCAATATTTTTCCGTCCAGAGAGATTTAAATTGGGAAGCTCTCAACCCAGTAAGCAAATTGAGTGAGGACTGCGCGCAGATTGGCAGCACATTTTATCAAAAACCCATAGCAAAACCATAGCCATTGTCTACATTAGACCTGTGTCTACATTAGGCTACGGTTTTGGCGACAGATTTTGCTGTTGGTGCCAAATTTGTAGCAAAAACCACGTAAAGCTTACAGCGCAGTAAAATCTGCGCAGTTTCTGCCGCCAATCTGCCGTCAAATCGCTACAAGCTCTGCGCGGTTTTTGCTGCAAATCTGCAGCAATTATCCGACAACAAGCTCTGCCGCATATCTAGCGGCAATTAACCTAGGCAACAAAATTTGATATAACAGATTCTGCATCAAATTTGTTATCTATTTGCCATCAAAAGTTGATAGCAAGCTCTGCTCGAAATCTGTTCGCGCAGATTTGGCTATCTGGGAATACAAACCTATGGATGCACCGTGTTTTTTCACGAACCAAAATGAATATATCTCTCTATATATATATATATATTTACATATTCGTGTGTGTGTGTGTGTATGTGTGTGTGTATGTGTGCACACACGCATATGCGCACGCACATGAAAATGTGAATATACATATGCATATATAGAGAAATATATTCATTTTGCTTCGTGAAAAAGCATGGTATACCCATAGGTTTGTATTGAAAGCTTCCCAATTTAAACCTCTCTGGACATAAAAGTATTGCATTCAGAGAGGTGTGCCCATTCACATTTTAGTTCGGGACGTCGAGGACAACAACATACTGCAATTTCAGTCAATTTAATCGGGGGTACATTTCCATAAGATATGTGTGGATTTTCTTATATTCTTATATTCTATAAATACAACTTTTTAAAAAGACAAAAAATCCAAGACAGCAATATTGAAACTTATGACTTTGACTACACAATCCTAAAAGAATTTTGCTTAATTTTTCTTAATATTAAAAAATAAAATTTTAGACAAAGTGGTATTTTTTCAAAAATAATCGATTTTAATCATAATTTTCATGTATTAAATTATATTTATTTTAAACTGACATTATAGGATATTATAGGAAAATATCATTCTTTAGCTTCAATAAGTGTCTATGTTTTTTCGCAAAAATGCGCAAAGAGCTTATCACACTTAACCCTAGCCATTCACGAAAGAAACGCGGACAGACTGCAACGGACAGACAGCCAGGTATTTTATGCGGTCCTTATGCTGCGCCTATATTTGTCATTGGTAAGTGCTACATCGAGCTGTGGGTAAGTGTTACGTCACTTTACGCATGTGCAGAAAGGTTCCTGTCGTAAAAAAATGATGTTCCAGTATTGTAGTAACGTTTGATCGGATAATTCAACATTATGAAGCATTCACTATTGCCAAGAGATCATTGACAGATTTAGACTTCTTGGATGAGACTTTATCTAAAAAGCTCATTCCGCTTCATCACGTTCACCCATATGTTAATTTTTTTTTATTAATATCTCAATATTGATCGTGCTTGTTTGCAAAATGCAAGGCTTTTTTGTTGAATTTGATAAGTTTTATATGAACACGAACAAACATACGTATTGTGTTCAATATCCTGTCTATCCTATTTGCAAATGCAAAATTCCTTACTGACTAATTTCGATATAATTATTAGAAAACTCTTAATGTCATATAACTTTATATGAAATGTAATTAATCAGGTAGAATTAATTCAACATTCTTTCCATCTTCAGAAACAATAAATTTGGAGTCTTTATAACGCAAGAGATTTGCATGCCTCTGAAATGACCATGCTATGTAGCCGAGTTTATAGAACGGCGATAATCGTTCAAATCCAGCAGCAGTCGCCAACGAATCGAAGTAATCCCACTGCTGATCCATTAATCTGTGTGCGTGTCTCTTTCTCAAGGTCTTTAAAGTCGAATCCTCGAGCATCACAGATTTTGCAGGTAATGTCACTCGGCCCTCTAACAAAGCTAGGAAATATTGTACCTGAGAAATAAACATTTAGAAAATAATATATTACGTTTATAATATAAAATCAAGTTTATTATAACGAAATTAAAAACAAAGTATATTTTTGTCATAAACAATATTGTTACCTTTATACGATACCCAGATAGCCAAACCTGTGCGAGCAGACTTTGCGCAGAGTCTGTTAACAGTATCTGTGATAGAAAAGCAACAGATTGCACGCCGTATCTGTTTATCAGATTCTGACGGCAGATTGGAGACAGTTTGCTCGCAGTCTGCTGACAGACTTTAACGACAGCAGGATCTGCACGCATTCTGCTGCCAAGCTACCGTCAAAGCCTATTTAGCAGACTCTGTCGACAATCTAACAACAGATTGGGGATGTAGATATCTATGGATCTGTCAACAGATTCTGCTCGAACTTGTCACCAATCTGACGTCAATCTACGCACAGATTGCTTACTGGGTAATATTACTTTTATTATCAAGCGACACGGTAGTATCGCGAAGCCAAGTGCAAGCGCAAACAACGGGCTCGCGGCCGACCGTGGATATTTACGCGACGACTTTAGGTGAACACAGGCACAATTTCTCGTTTGACTATAATAGCTGAACGGATGAGATTCTAGATGGGTTTAATCTATTCCTTGGATTTATATTACTTCATAAAACTGTCTTTACTTTTGCTCTACATGCTGTAGAAACTGAGATATTTTAACTCAAAGTCCGAAATCGTAAATTTATGCTTGAGAAACGTCGTCTCCTCATTACGAAAATCTCAGTTGACTGTATTCCTCCGCTAGAGGCGCTACGGTTGAGATCAGCCTAGAGATCCTCTAGTAAGAGATGCGCAAACTTCGGTTGTTTGCAAGAATATGGCGGCTTCCATGTGTTACATGTGTTGATATGTTTATGAATATATATACCGAGGTAGCCAAACTTGCGCGAACAGATTTCGAGCAGAACTTGCTATCAACTTTTGATGGCAAATAGATAACAAATTTGGTGCAGGATCTGTTATATCAAATCTTGCTGCCAAATTACCGCCAGATATGCGACAAAGCTTGTTGTTGGATAATTGCTCCAGATTTGCAACAAAAACCGCGCAAAGCTTGTAGCGATTTGACGGCAGATTGGCAGCAGAAACTGCGCAGACCTTGCTGCGCTGTAAGCTTTGCTGGTTTTTGCTGCAAATTTGGCACCAATTGCCCGATAGCAAGATCTCTCACCAAAACCATAGCCTAATATAGGCTATGGTTTTGCTGTAGGTTTTTGATCAAATTTGCTGCCAATCTGTCGCCGATTTGTAAGACCGACCATCTGCTCCACAATTATCTGTATTTCGTCGCGTCCTCGTATCGTTTCGTTTATCGTCGTCTCGTCCGCGGAGCGGCTGCACGTGTCATAGAGCTCACCCGAGGAGATCGTCCTCGGGTTTCTTTCATTGTAGCGAACTTATTATCGTATCGCGACTAATGACTCTTTTTGTGACTTTTATCGCGCTTCTTACCGGGACGTTCGAGAGTCCCGCGAATAAACGAATTACTCTTGAACATGCGTAGAGTCATTTTCGCTCTTCCTAGACCCATCCCGTCTCCGACTTTAAAATCCCAGGAGCTACCGGTCTCAATGGTTCCCGGGACACGCGAATTTTGTGTAACGTATCGCATCTCGCGTTTATCGAGATGGTGCGGCCTTTCCGCACCTGGCGCCCAACTACCGTCTTTAGTTTTGTGGCGTGAATGGGAGCCGACGGCAATTTGCCGACGCGACGGACAGGCGACTGTCTGCCGTCGCTCGCGAATAAACCTCGTGAATATCGTCACAAGATATTTAAAAAAATACTATTAAAACAATCTTATTCAGATCAATTGTATCCTCTATTGAAATACTCTATTGAAAAATACGAGACAGGTTTATACTCTCTACAAAAGTAATAATATCAAGAGGTTTACGCCAAGTACGAATGATTAATTATTTCAGTTTTTATTTTTATAAACATATGTGGTTTTAGCTATATAATATATTTATAAATTAAATATATTATTAATATATTAGTAACATATTATTAAATAAAAAATAAAATAATTAAAGAAATACAATAGTGTTGAAAAAAATTATAATAACTTACACAAAAAGCATTTGGCGTGCCTTTTTTTATAAACAAACGGTTCTCTTATTTCAATAATTATCAAAATATTATATTGATTATCGATATAATATTAAAAGAAGGCACGACGTCTAAAGACGTCACCTGGGTTTGTGCTATCTGGGTTATAAAATCAGTTGCATTTTGATTGTCGTTGCGTCGTTTGTATCATTTGTCAATAAATATGCCATTAAATGTTGTTTGAACGATACAAGAATATATTATAATCATAATTCAATAAAATATTGTCACAACTCACTGACCCCATATAGCACACAATGTTCTATGAATATTGTTATGGAATGCAAATATTCTCAGTTTCAGAATATTCAAATAGAATGTTCAATAAATATACGTAGAGTATTACAATTAATATCATATTTTTATAATGAAAAAGAACGTGATAAAAATATTCTTCGAAAATAAAGGTAAAGGTACCAAAAGCGACATACCACTTTGTTTTTGAACGTTATGTCTTAATATAAAGTTCAAAATATAAATGTAAATATATATGCATGTAGTTGGAAGTACTTCCTATCAGATAATATCACATTTTTACTGAAATTGTTCCTAGATTTAGAACAAAAAATGTTTTTCCTAAAACGCAAAAAAATAGAGTTTAAAGTATGACGATGCAGCTTCCATATCGTCACTACAACCGGCCCGACCGAATACCAGTCGGGTTGTGCACCGGCGCGTTGCGCCACCTCAAACACCACAAGGCCAAACCAAAAACAATAGCGCATAAACATGTAAACAACGCGAGGTATGATCGCGCGACAGCGATCAAACGACGTGATCGATAGAAAGCGCGCGCCACTATCACGTGCGAAATAAGACAAAACAGATCCGACTAAATAATCTGCGGTTCCAAGATAATCGAAACCAGACCGATCCGGACCGTCTACCGAACTCGATACTGCACAGCGGAGAGCTAGGATTACGACCGACTCGTTTCTGCCATCCGCACCTACCTAGTTTCCTATCCTTGCGAGCAAGGACTGAAGTATGTACGTTAGCTGCGCTCCGTCGATCTTTATCGACTCTTGCTCGCATCCCGTCGACTCCACGAACAAGGACCGAAGCCAGTACGTTAGCTATGCTCTGTCTAACTTCCTCGACCCTTGTTCAAAGCCTCTCGACGATCGAGACCGAGAGCGAATACGCCGACACCTCGGCTACTCGCTCCCGATCCTGACATTTGCGAAGCGAGCGCACTAGCGAGTGCGTCTCCACCGCGAGCGCGAACCGTTAGCGTGCCGTGCTGCGACACTGGCATACAGCCGCCAACACGGCGCGGTCCCCGCGACCGGCCGCCCGACCGAATCGCGAATCGCGAATCGCGAACGCCGAATATCGACACGCAACCGCCTGCCGAATATACGAGACTAGTGTAGCGCTCGCGCTATACGCTCCACCTACCGTATTAGCTGTCGCGGCCTACCAAAACCGCGACCCGGTAACTGGCGCCGTCCCCCAGGAGATCTACGTACTCGTTCGATACTACTCGTTACGAAGGAATAATAAACTCTTTTGTGTTATTTTTGTTTATTACAATCCGCATGTGTCAATTATTTCACGAACCCGGACTCCGGCGAGCGAATAATCCAACGGTATCCACGAGAACCGACACGCGGAGTTCGGTTGTTACATTGGCCCCCGAACAGGTTGATACGCGAGTTGATACAAAAAATAAATCCCGAGTACAGAGCGCGAATGACTTCGTGGATATATAAATTGTCAAAAGACGAAATAACCGAACATCTAGTTAGACAAACGTAGATACCGAGGTAAAATTTGAGGAGTTGCGACAACGACTCGAGCATCTAACAAAGAAACAGCCGGAACTGTTCGCGGACACAAGTAATAGCAACACAGTCAACGGCACAGAAACCGAAGTTAAGTTCACGATGCCAGGAAACAACAATTCCGCCTCAACAATAGAGCCCGGCGAATCTATAGCAAAAATTATAAATCAAATAAGAAAGTGGGGATGTCATTTTGACAGACGCGACCCCCACTCATTTTAGAACGGGTAGAAGAATTAAGCCAAGTATACAGATACCCAGGCGAACATTTATTAAGAGGGCTACCCGAAATGCTAAGGGCGAGGCTCTGACGTGGTACCGGAATGGTCGCGAAAATTAGCATACGTGGGAAGAGTTTCGCGACGATTTTGAGACGGAATATATACCGCGTGAATCACAAGTACGAATGCGCCGACAAGCACGGGGACGCGAACAAAAGGAGAGAGAAACGTTGCGGAGCTACGCCAACGACCTGCTTAAGCTCATGCGAAGGACAGGCGGGTGATCAGCAAAAGAACTACTCGACCTCCTTTATGAAAACATGCTCCCCGAATAAACCGGACGAGGTGGACAGTGTGGGCGAACTTTGCGCAAAAGTAACGGAAGTCGAACACATCGAGCAACAAATTAAAGAGAGCAAAGAAGGAAATCCGAAACGCATGCCCTCCACCCAAATGCATCGCTAGAAGCAAAAACACCATACAACAAGGACGATTGCTGCTGGCGATGCAAACAACGAAGACACAGTAGATACGAGTGCAAACGACTACCACGAAAATTTTTCTCACAATGTGGCAAAGACAGCGTATTAACATGGGAATGCCCGCGGCCGGGAAACGGTCAACGGGCCGAGTTCCAAAAGGAAACTCGGCCCAACAAAACCAATTAAAATACATGCCGAAGCCATTCATTACAGTCATAATAAACGGATAAAGAATAGAGGCGCTGATTGACTCGGGGTCGGAAACATCATTTATGAAACCAGAAACAGCACGGAAACTACGACTAACAATAAAAAAGACGAACGATAATGTACGACTAGCCAACAGAATGACAACAAA